ATGGGTTTTCATTTCTAACTTCTAGCCATTCATCCTTACCCGCCACCTGAACTGTGGTTTGTTGATTTGAATAGAGAGTAAGTAAAGAGCGAGCACGAACCTAAGCCTCCCCCCCTCCCTTATCGTGTGTGGGGGGGGGGGGGTCGGCGAACACTGATCTCGATTTTTATCCTTACTTTAATGTAGTTTTGTTCGCGTTGCGTGGGTGTGAAGTGTGTGATGGTTTGTATGTCTATCCTCTCCGTCATTTCGGTGTTGGTTTTGTATCATGCTCTGCTTGTGTCGGCGGAATTCTAGGACTCTTGGTTGTTGCTCATGTTTTATGTAGTATACTAGCACCTTGTGCGGTTTGTGTTGAGGTTGTTGTAGTTGTTGTTGTTGTTGTTGTTGTTGTTGTTGGGTGGTGTTGTTGTTGTTGAGGCACCTGTTGTTGTTGTTGTTGTTGAGGCACCTGTTGCTGTTGTTGTTGTTGAGGCACCTGTTGCTGTTGTTGTTGTTGAGGCACCTGTTGTTGTTGTTGTTGTTGTTGCTGCTGCTGCTGCTGTTGTTGTGGTTGTTGTTGTTGTTGTTGTTGTTGTTGAGGCACCTGTTGTTGTTGTTGTTGTTGTTGTTGTTGTTGTTGTTTGTTCTCTGGTTCCTGCTCATCTGCTTGATGTTTTGAGGGCTTGCTGCTCGTGGGTGCCATCAGCGACTGCAGGAGGGAGACAGCGAGTGGCGCACCTGGTCGTAGAAACACACCCCAACAGCTTGGACTTGAACAACGCGCTGGAGAAGTAGGCAAGGTACATGTGGCAAAGTGGGCAAGCTACACACCATCATTTCGCTGCCTCAAGGCCTCGCCGCGAGGTTGGAGCTGCTGTTCCTTGAAAACTGGCTCCGTTCGCCGGGCACCTTGCACTTGAGGTTGCGAGTGACAAGCGGAAGAAGCAACGTCAGGACATGTGTGTGTGCGTGTGTGTGTGTGTGCGTGTGCGTGTGCGTGTGTGTGTGTGTGTGTGTGTGTGCGTGTAGGGGTACCTGCGGGCTCCGCGTCATTTGACTCCGACTTCGGTTGCCACGCATCATCTGTATGTATGTAGAATGTACGGTCGCCGATGAGATTGTTGGTTGGTGTGTCTTGCACGTCATCCACGCGGTACATCACGCATGCACGACCGCATCACGCATACACAGAGCACATACATGCGAGTGCACGTACGAAACAGCGGTTTCCTCGCGCCCTCCCGAGTGCTTGCCGCCTTCTTGCCTCCCCTGCGGCCGCGCACAGGGAACAGCCGCAGTCTCGACGGGGCCAGTGTCTTCACTCTTTTCCGGGGGTGTTCCTGCTTGATGCCCGCTTGTCGACATCGCTTCTGCCCGTCGGCAATGATGGACATCCTGTCCGTGAGGCGGTCGATGAGAGTGCAAATGTCCTCAAGCAAAAGATTGTCCTTGTCAACGGGTCAACGACCAATCCCCGAGGGGTATTCTGTGATTTCGTCCAGCTGCCGCGACATGGTGCGCATGAGCTGTTTCACGCGATCTTTGGTTCGCCCTGTTCGGCCAGCAATGCACGGATGATCGTGTGAGTACGCAGGAGTGGATATGTGTGTGTGTGCGTGCGTGTGTGAGTCTGTCTGCCCGAGCGTGTGCGCATCTCTTTCTCTCTCAACTCACTCACTAGCACATACACACACACACACACACTCGCTCTCTGTCACCCTCTGTCACTCTCTGTCACTCAGTCACTCTGTGTCAGCGCGCACGCGCACGAGTACGCTCGTGTACACGTGCATGATATCCTGTTTCACCTGTGTGCCGGCTTGGTTTGTGTTCTGGCGTTGGGGCAGCGACGGGAAATGATGTGGCTGGGTCGGTGCTGCCCGTCGTGTGAATGAAAACCGCAGCCGTGTGCTTACATACAGGGGGAGAGCCCTTGTACGCAGGACACACGCACTCATAGACGTGGATGCAGTCAGCGCGGGAGCAGAACTCGCACGTAAACGCAGCTCTCATGGTGACAGCCTTTGGGTCCTTGTCAGGGAATGACACTGTGAACGACAAGTCACTGGTGCGATCAACACTTGGACCCGCTTGCTTAGCGATGCTGAGTGCCGATGACGCGCAGCGTTGTGCCTTCGTAACCACTCCATTGACTTGAGCGTGTAGAACCTTCTGTCTTTGCTCCTCCGCGAATGAGAGCAAGCGGCGCAGCAGGTAGTCAGCACGCCCCGATTTCCTGTCAAGGTGTTCCTTGAGAACGCGGTGAAAGGACTGCGCCCATCGGAGCACAATGATTAAACAACCAGGCATGTGCCACGAGGTAACGGACAGCGAAGAGCACGTAAGGGTGTGGTTCTTCAGGTGAATGCGTGCATATCTCTGGGTGCGTGTGCGTGTGTGTGTGTGTGTGTGTGCGTGTGTGCGTGCGTGCGTGTGTGTGTGTGATGTGTGTGAGCGTGGGCCTGGGTATGACCACTGACCTCGATGTCTGTGTGTGTGTGTGTGTGTGTGTGTGTGTGTGTGTGTGTGTGTGTGTGTGTGTGTGTGTGAGCGTGTGTGTGTGTGAGCGTGTGTCTGGGTATGACCACTAACCTCGATATAATTGTTCGTCGTTGGATCTTGGGGGCGCCTGCAGTAGTCAGCCCACAGGTGCGCCCATTCAAAGTAATGCTTTCTTGAATAATCCAGCACTTTTGGGTCATCCTTGTACCGCTCCGAGAAAAGTCGCTTGCCGCGCTCGAAATCTTGGATGGTTGAGCACTTCATGAGCTCCTCCAAGTCCTTCACCGGCGAGAGCCCATCCTTGGATCTGGAGCTGAAGTGTCTGAGCCTGTCACGCACACCACAACGCCGTTGCAGACAAGTATCAGAGTGCCGCGTCAGCAGGTAAAGCACACGAATGTGTGAACATACACGCACGCGCGCACACACGCACACACGGAGACACACACACACACACACACATACACGGAGCCACACACACACACAGAGCCACACAAAGAGGCCAGACTCAACCAACACACAACGGATAAGCCACACACACACACACACACACACACACAATTACACGGAGCCACACACACACACACACACACGCAGACACGGAGACACACATACACACACACAGACACA